CAGTGTGTGAAACCATTTTTAAAATTACCTCTCTGTGTTGAGGGCTAGCATTTGTGTTCTTTTTTAGCCAAAAATGACTAGAAGATGATTTTTGTACCTCCCGATCCATATCGTGTACAGCCCTTTCCTTCCGTTCATGACTGGCAGCCGCCACACGATGTGCCGAAGCCACTGAATCTGTCCTCACCTGGGAATGGAGGTGCTAAAAGTCACCACTTCTGAGGAGCATGAGGCCTAAATACAATTACAGATAGCTCTCAGGCCAGCGGTACAACCCCGAGTGTGAACTTTGAACTTACTGCAAGTGCTCATAAAATGCAGGACTACAAGCCAGCCGGGGAAACAGCTGGTGGGTTCCCACACTGACCTGCGGTCAGCTGCCCAATGCCTGAGCTGCTGTGCGGCCAGGTCCCACTGGAGGTTTACAGTGTGCTTAGAATGTGGTCACACTGCAGCACCAAGCCCCTGCCCTCTGGTCAATCCTGACTCTGTGACCGCCACCCCCAGGGCAGTTCTACTTGCTCCAGGGTGCTGCCAAGCTGCCAACTTCAAGGTGCTGGTTCAGGCCCAGCCGCCGTCACTCCTGGGAGAAGAGAGAGCTATCTGCTCTCATAAAGATGTGCAGCCCTAGAAAGGGGTTGTAACGGAACTGTAGAATGGTGCAAGTGTTAACTCCCAATTAAAAACATCCTCAGAACCCCCACAGAGCTTTCTGTGGGGCTGCAGCATCGCTGTGTGCTTTAGCAGTCAGGATGGCAGTGGGTTTCGCTGTTTACCTGCTACGTAATCTGATGCGGTTCTTAGCCGCATGGTCCAGGCGGCCCGACTCACACCGAGTCATCCCTGCTGGTGGCGGTTCAGCCTGCCAGATCCGTACGGTTTTCACAAATGGGTTGCCAGGTCAGGTCTTTCTGCTTAGCTCACCTTAGTCCAGAGGCTCAGCTGAAACTGCGTCTCCCTCTTGCAACAGGCCAGCCTCCAGGACCAGCAGGGCGGGGGTGGTGGGGGGAGCCGTGCACATAGTGCACGGGTTGGGGAGGAAGCCTGGCACTCTTGGGTAGAAGGTGAGCACGTACCAGGTACCACCAGGGCCTCCTTTTCTGAGCTAATGGTTGAGAATGGAACGGCCCCCAGACCAAGGCCGGTGCACAGACTTAAGGAAAACCCTGGCCCCCAGGACAAGCCTGCTGTACTCCTTCCTAATATACCATGCATACTCAAGTATAAGCCACCCCCAATACCAGACGAGGCACCTAATTTTACAAAAGCGCATAAAAAATGTGCTGAAAAACTCGAGTTTGTATGGTATTCAGAGGCACACCAGCAAGCTGAGCCAGGCACCCATCACACTGCCACACCTACTAAAATATGAAGGTGCAGGTGGCCCGTGAGTCAGAACTTGCCGGGTTCTAGCACCTGCCTTGTGCAGTTTTTAAACACAGGCTGGGTCCTGGGTGCACCAGGAGGTGACAGTTTCGGCCTTCAGGCCATTTCTATTTCCTGTATCGCCCACCTTTGCTGAGAGCAGGAGCCTCTCTGGGTAATTAGCGAGGAGGAGGCTGCTGTCTTGAAGGCTTTGCAGGTAAGCAGCAGGCAGCCCCGAAGGGGCAGGTTGCCATCGCCAGTTTCCTTCAGGGTGGCCCACACGGGGCTGCCTACTCCTGGGGGCAGTGCTGAACTGGGCGGGGGCTGCAAGAGCTGACACCCACACTTCCTCCTGGATTAGGGGCTACAGCACAAATGTCATTGTCAGGGTCGCTGGGCATTTTTTTTTCCCCCCTGAAAAGAAGGTGTGCTTTAATCCTGCCCGAGACCTCTCCCTGAATCCTTGGCCCTGCCTCCTCCTGAGCTGATGGGCCTTGAGCACCCACATTTGTTCCCCTCTCTGATCCCTGGGTGCCAGGCCTCAAAGAAGCATGTGGCAAGGGAGCACACAGCTCCTCCCCAATCCAGTGGCCCTTGGCTCCTGGGTTAAAGCGCTCTGCTTTGGCTGAAGGTTTGGTGTTTCAACACACATACACCCACCCCCGCTCCCCAGTAGCTCTGCAGAAAGACCTGCCCGCTGGAAACAAACCCCATGGGACGGTTCTACGCTGTCACAGGGTATGGCTATGGGATGGACTCCCAGGCTGGCCTGTGCAACGGCCAAAGGTCCTCACCCTGGGGAAGTTCTTGGCAGGACCCTAGTTTTCCCTCACGCCACGTCTCCTGTCAGTGTGTTTCCTGTCACCCAATGGCTCGCTGAGATGCTGGTTCAGGCTCTAGGCTGTGGCCACTCCAACGGGAATTAGGCCGATGGCTAACCAGCTGCCCGGTCGAGCCTTGTCCAAGCTGTGCAGGAGGCAGACCTTGGATGGCAGCATGGATAAACATGGGCCCACAGCCATACGCCCAGCGATAGGCCCAGTCCCAGGCAGGCTCGCTGTGGGACTTTCAATAGATTCTTTTTCATCCTTCTTTCATTGTTGCTGGAACTAAGCTTTCCAGCTGGCCTTACTCGTGTCTTGGTCAAGAAGCACTTGTTCGCTTTATTTCAGCATTGCACCTCTAGCCCATTCCACACACTTAGTCATCGCTTCACCTGACATCTGGCGTCAAGACCCAACGAGAAAAACAAACAAGCCAGTTGCCCTCACGCTGACCGTGACCCTGTGGGACAGAAAATAAAACCCCCACAGCGTCCCCAAACCTGCAAATCTCCACCGAGAGGCTGTGGGTTCTACTGCTGACCTTTTAGTTCACAGCCGGCACTTTAACTGCTGTCACCGGGGGTCCTGATCCAGGCCTAGGCCCCCCATAGACAGCAGACCCACCATAAGCTGTGCAGGTCATCTGCTAAGTCTTTGCGGATCTTTAGCAGTATTCAAGGGTAAGTCAAAATATATTCCTACCGAGGTTCCAGGTCACACACACGAGTTTGTTCTGCATGAAACCAGCTTGCTTCTCTGCCCTCAGTGGGCGGCTGCAGACGAGTCCGCTCAGTCATCTGCTTGTTTCAGTCTTAGTCAAACCCCTGCCAACGAGTCACTCACGGGGACCCTGCAGGACAGGGCAGACCTGCTTCTGTGGGTTTCTGAGACTGAACTCTTTTCAGGAATAGAAAGCCTCATGTGTCTCCCTCAGAGTGGCTCACGGTTTCGAACTGCTGACCTGTGGTTAGCAGTTCAATGTATAACCACTATGCCCCCAGGGCTCTCCTTGGGTCTTATGAAGTCTTTAAAAGGGGGGAGGGGGCCCCATCAAAACAGTGGTTTTCCACGGGGATCTGCCAGGCCGATTACATTCAGGGCCCAGTGCCAAGCAAAGAAGCTTGTGGCACTTTCCCCCCGGAGTAACTTTGACAGATTTTCTTGAAAGACACAAGATAATCAGAGGAGCCTTTTCAGAAGAAGCTTTTTGTTGTTGTTGGAAGAAGTTTTAAGAAAAAAGAAAATTGCATTGGTGAGAAAAAGGCCAGGAAGGTGGCACTGGATAACTGTTTCCCAGCACAATGTACCTGCTCCCTCTTCCAAGGTAAGAAGGTTGTCCTACGCAAATTCTGTGGGCAGTTTGCCCCATCCACCCTTCTTCCCTTCCTCAAGCTCAAAAACACTGACAAGCAACATACTTGGAGTCCTCCATGCACTATAGAGCCTACTAATATGGACCTTCTAGCTATAACTCGTCATGTGACGTATCAGCATCCTGGACTCTACACCTGTGGCTATAATCCCATCTAGGCGGCTGTTGTTAGTTCCAACCCACAGTGACCCTATGCTTAACAGACAGAAACACAGCCCTGTCCTGCACCATTCTCACAATTATTCCTTTGCCGGAGCCCATTGTAGTAGCCACTGTTGAGGGTCTTCCTCTTTGTTGCTGCCCCTCCACTTTGGCTTGTACTACCCTAATGGGCAGCATTAGGACGGCATGAAGACCCGCCATGTGAACCAAGCTGTGCCCTTTGTTTCCCCGGGGCACTGTGAGATTCCGTGACAAACAGGGTGTGACTGAAGATACCGGCTTTCCTTGGATGGGCTAGAAATGCCAGTGTCAGGTGCAGTTCCGCCGCACATGCTGCCTCGCCTCCAATTCCTCACTGGGTAGAAGCAAAGCAGGCTTGCTGAGACTTTGGGACATTCTTGGCTTCTGCCTCTGGACCTTGCGTTTGGCTCGACTCTGCCGGACCTTTGGGTTTTGGACTCAACAGCACCCACCACCAGGTGAGACATTCCCTTGGGCGTCTGGGACTGGTGTGATATTTAAAACAAGAAAACGTTGCTGCACTTTGAAAATGCCCGCACTCATGTCTTGTGCCGACAATCCAGGAGCAGAGGGTGGGTTTTCCGGGAGGGGTTGGAGAGGTGGAAAGAAGTGCACAGACCCTGGACGGAGAGTCTGGAGAACAACAGCTTCACGTCCTGATTTTAATTTGTGAGTTTGTGGCAATCCTTCTTGATTGGCCAGTGGGTGGAGCACCCGAGTTTGCACACACGAAAAAACAACAACGTGAAGTCCTAGGAGAGTTTGCGATCATTTAAGGAGAAATTACCTCAACAACGCACGAACAAATGGGCACCTGCTGCGGGCAACCTAAGCAGGAGCTGTCCGGGGGTGCGGGGGTAGGCGGGGTGTAACAGGGGGCGCGCCACCTGGCTGCCGGGTCACCCCTGACCCCAGCCCTGACCCCTGCTCCGCCGGCGCTGCCGTTCCACCAATCAGACCTCGGGTCGACAGAGACCCTTTCTGACCACGGGCTTCTCGGACGGGGGTCTGCCCACCCACCGCCCCACCTCGGGAGCCACGGGGACCCACCTGCAGGACGCAGTGGGGTCGGCGCGGAGTGGGGTCCACGCGGGTTGCAGGGCCGACGACAGACCGGAGGGGCTGAGGTCGTAGAGAGAGGCGATCCGGGAGAAGGGGCGGCCTCGCGGGGAGCGACCGGGGCGAGGGAAGGGGGGCGATCCTGAGGGGCGTGGCCTGACCACCCTCCTAGCCCATCTCCCGAGCACCCCGCTTACCCTGCTGGGTGCCGCGTCCCTGCGCTCGGCGGCGCACTCCGGGGTGAGCTGGCGGCCGCAGTCGGCAAAGGCGCGGCACAGCGCGGGGACGAGGGGCTTGCTCCTGGGCCCCAGGGCCGCCATGGCCCAGCGCCCGCCGAACTCCCGCGCCGCACGGCAGCGTCGCGATTACGCCAGAAGCA